TGTGTGTATATATATATATATATATATATATATAGTTTTTTGTGCATTATATTAGTATCATATACATATTACTGATGATAGATTTATTAAATTATGCATAATTATATTTTATTATATATTTAATGTAATTAATAATATTTTTATTTATATTTTAAAAAATTGATAGCATCGTTTTTATGTGTGATTTTATTTATTTTTATTGTGTTTTTATTGTTTTAAAATGAAGACATTATTTTTTTTTTATTTACAATTTTTTTTTTATATATTATGTTTATATATTTTTGTATAGCAGGATTAAAGAATTATATATGAGCAGTATTACCTATAATGTAATAAAATACAGTATATAAAATTTTTAAAATAAATACATTTTTATCTTGCCATTTTCTAGCATCTCTAAAGATGTTTGGAAATTAAGGTGTTGGATTTTGGGTGTGACGCTCTCAGTTCAGTTGCTAGTCTCCGTCCAAACCTGCATTAGTCAAACTTTTCCATGTGAGCTGTTTCTGTTTCATGAAATCATTTATCAACACAAACCAATTCAAGCCTTTCCTCTAAAACTAGAGTCGGTTTAATTATTAGTTCTGAATGTTTTACAGATTGTGCAGTATTGATCCGATGAACTTGTAATGTAACCCGAAGAAGAAAAAGATCTTCAAAGCACCATTTAGCTCAACTTAAGAACCTTGTTTACCAAAAAATGGTTCTTTGCTTAAGAACCATTCATCTGGTCAGTTTACCTTATGTGATTTAATCCAACTAACTTTCTCTGATGTGTGTGTATGTTTAATTCCGGCCATGTTGTCCATGTGTTTTGTGGTACACCACCAGACAAGCTTTGCTTAAAAGGCTATATGATCCCCGGCACATCCTGAAATTAACAGGCTTACGGGACCATAAATTTCATTTATTTTCCCTGTGACCTGATTTCTTCTAGCGCTTTGAGAAGCTCTCTGTAGCCCTTATAGACAGGATCCTGTGGGAATTACTGCAGTTTAACCATTCTTTTCTTGTTTTCATGCTGAGGAAGCGTTTCTGACATGCTAATTTTGTCACAGTCATTTTGACTTCGTACCATCAATCTAGCTTTGTTCTGACTTTGAGGCATTTATGTCACATGATTAATATTTCCAGCAGGATAAGGCTATATGATCACCGGCACATCCTGAAATTAACAGGCTTACGGGACCATAAATGTCATTTATTTTCCCTGTGACCTGATTTCTTCTAGCGCTTTGAGAGGCTCTCTGTAGCCCTTATAGACAGGATCCTGTGGGAATTACTGCAGTTTAACCATTCTTTTCTTGTTTTCATGCTGAGGAAGCGTTTCTGACATGCTAATTTTGTCACAGTCATTTTGACTTCGTACCATCAATCTAGCTTTGTTCTGACTTTGAGGCATTTATGTCACATGATTAATATTTCCAGCAGGATGTACATCACTGTCAGATTCACCTTGAAATTGACCTTTTATTAGCATGCAGTAAATGTGTGATGCTAAAACACAAGGCATGTGCCTTATTATAAAGGAGCTTTTTTTGACAGAAGCAGGGTGAACTGTACAGCGTTTAGTCTTGACCCCGTTTTAAGGAGCCCGTGGTGGGCTGAGGTTTGACTGGGTCACTGTAATCAGGCAGCAGTTAGGCTTTACTCCAGTGTCATGACTTATGCTCGCTCTTGCTATGTATTTAACCTTCACCTTCTGCTGACGGTTGTTCCTGCACTTTGTAATTTTAGAGAGAAGCTGACGGAAGATGCCAAAGCCGAGACGAGCAAGACGTCAACCGTCCAACCGAAACCAGCAAGCGCTGCTGCGAACGTTGATCCTGACGACCTGTTCGATGATATATGACCTTCTTTAGGACCTAATGAGCACCGTTTGTGATAAGCATGACTTTTGAACTGTTTTTAAACTGTAGCAGTAATAAAATTAGACTTTTTTAAAAGTATTTTATAGTAAATATGAACTGGCTCTATAATAAACAATGAAAGTTTAAAAAAGAACACTACTTTTTAATGAAAAGTGAAGCAAAATTTTGAATTTGTCAATTTTTAACTGTAAGTTGTGAATAAATCTAAAAAATGTGAATAAAGATGTTTTTCTCATTCCCTAAGTAGTGATCTTTCAAAATGGATTTTAAACTCAAACCTACTTTTTTTTTTTTTTTTTACTTTTATCATTTACTTTACTTGATATGGGGAAAAAACAGCCTCAGCTGAGCTTTTGGTTTTTGTTGGTCTCCTAGCAGGAGACCAACAAAATCTGGTTAGTCAAAGTTAGGCTGGCCTGCTGGTTTTAGTGAGTTCTGGGCTTTTTCTAACTGGCCAGACTTAAACCATATAAGACCAGCAAACCAGTCTAAGCTGGGTTTTGAGGTGAATGAACTCCTAGCACGGAAAATACCCTAGCAACTTCATAGCAACGTGCATGCTTAAACTCTTCAGAAGACATTAATGACTGCTTAGCAACACCCTGGTAACCACTGACAATGCCCAGTCATCAAGACAGGTAAGCACCACGCACATTCTTTAGAAAATGAAAAAAAAAAAATGTTATATGTGCACTTTCGATTATCTTATATTATTGAGAAACTACATGGAATGTTTGTACTTGAAGATTAATTTGTCACAGGAATGTTAAAATAAACAAAAAAATACTCAAGTGTGATTAACAAAAACGATGAACATATGTAAATAATATTTCAGTTTTTATTTTTTGATTAAATAAATGCAGCTTTGATGAACATAAAACTTAAAAAAAAAAAATCGTACCGACCTCACGATAGTATAAGGATTTAGCCTTATATCTTGATTTTGATTTGTAACCTCACACACCGTAATGGCTAAATCAAATGAATGGTGCTGGTTATTTCTAGAGGAGGTAACGGTACCGTCTCTCCCCCGTGTGGAAAGCTCCGGCAAACTCTTGTAAATGGAGTTGGGCAGTTCCCATCAGTTCACAAGAGTAATTTGGTCACTTTCACACCCCTTAATAACCCAGTAACTCCATCAGCACCTTCTCTGTCTAATTATCAGTGCGCTGTCAGACCGCGCAGTGAGATATGGATGCGCTTTTACGCACGACTCCGCGTAATAGACAAAGAGCTGCCTGATGGTAAACACTGCGAATGTTTCTGTAAAATGAATGCTGATTTCATTTGCAAAGTTGAATCGAAGACTGTCACTTATTTTAGCATTTACAGGTACGTGCAGTTGGACACTGAACTGGATTTTGCGCGCATATTTTCCACGGTTGTGCGCAACGCATTCATAATAAAGTTAGTAAGCGAAACAACTAATTAACTGGTTTTGAATTACTTATAACCCAACATACTTGTTCAAACTAGTTAGTGATTCAATGTCCAGTTTGCACCAATTCGAAGAGCGCCGAACATCCCTGTTCCTCTTCAGCAGGATAAATCAGATTCATTTTGGGAGGGCACTTTCTGCCCCTCCTCTGCAAACTGACGAAATCATGGGTGGACATGGAATTTGAACTTGCTGCTGGCTCATGTCTCCAGTCTTCTCGTGGGCACCAAGGGAAGAAAGAGCACCTAAGTCTGCTGCTGGGTTTTGGAGCATCAGAAATATTTGCACTTTTTGTGAAGGATTGCATTTCGAGAATCAGGAATAGCCAAGATTGTCTACAGGAAAAGGTAAGTTCTATTCTATTCTATTCAAACAATTATGTCCTAATTGATAAGTGATAAATATTGACTATTATTTCACATTAATCAGCATTAGTCATTTGCTGTGGTTAATATCCATTGCATATGAATTTTACCATGTTCTGCTCAGCATCTTTTGATATTAGAGCAGATTTACTTCAGTGCATCTCTTTTTTTTCATTTGATTGTGTTGTCAGAGCTTGTCTGTCACCCTGAAGCTTTGTTTGCGTTTGGCATCTTCTCAGTGCAGATCCACGTATCATTTTCTCATCATTATCATTGTAATACCAGCTCTGCTTAAATGCTGATAACTGAGAATGTGAGCTTTGGATTAATTTCAGAAAAGATTTTGGATTTCGTTTGGTCTGGTGTGATTGATCTGTCGTCATTAGCGCGCTCTCCAGCTGGACATTTTCACGGCGATGTTAATTGTTGGAAAGCGATGCGTGAAGGTTCTTTATATATCGCTCTCTCTAGTGTTTGATAGCGTGTACTATATAGGGCGTGTGTGACTGTCACCACAGCTGTCACAAAATGATCTTTGTGTTTCCGAGGAATGAGTAAAGTAGTGCTGTCCAGTATATTAAGATGGAACATATACATCCTTTTTAACCTCTAATTATGAATGAAGCTTTCATAAACACGTTCTCTATCCGATGGCAAAGCCATATATTGAAATGATAAAGGGAGACAGGAAAGCAAACAGACAGTGGGTGTCTAAAGACCTAGCTGGACCTGGAACAAAGACATGGATGGACATTAAACACAAGCAGTTTGACTGCCGACCCACGTTTAGGAGTAAACTGTAGCTGCAAATGTAAAACGAACTAAACTCACGACTGAATGACTTTTGCAAAATGAAAAGCTTTTATTTTTTATTTTTTTTTACAGAACTGAGATGTTTTTGGACGTTAAGCACATCCTCTGGTTGGTCTGTGTCTGCAGCGCTGCTGTAACCAAAGATGGTAAGTTTTTGAGTGTTTTAAGGCTTTTTATTCTTCCTCTTTACAATTATAAACTTCTTTTTTTTTTCATTTAGACTGTCCAAACCTTTCAAATTGGCATACGCTAGGGATGCAGTGATGTTAATATCCTGGATGATAAGCCAGTTATCATTTTCATGTAATGGACAATATCAAAAAATGGAAGATATTCAAATTATCGCCGATACTCTTAAGCCGATAATCACTTTTATGTAATGGCCCATAACGAATGGCAAATCAAATTTGATACTATTTTTCATTTTAAATGATACAAGTGATTTTAGGCCACAAGATAATGTATGATATGAAAAATATTAATATCATTTATATTTACATTTATGGATTTAATGCTTTTATCCAAAGTAACGTACAAAAGAGGAACAACCCAATGTCAGAGTCAACAATTTGTCAAAGATTCAACAATTTATTAAATACATAAATATAGTGTTTTGAGTACTTAAATATTCATTAAAAAACTATATTATTTATTCTAATAGTTGTAGATATAATAATATTATGATAAATATTGATAATATATTTATGATAAATATGTAGTCCACAACAATTTTCATTTCGAGGACGATACTACTACTACTACTACTACTATAATTAAATGTGCGCTAATATTAAATATTTTTTGGATTTGTTAAAGCTTAGACTTGTTGGTGTTATTAAAATATGTGTTTTTAAAGATTGACATTGAGTAAGTGCTACATGATGACAAAAGTAAGTGAACTTAAAATCAGGAGAAATTAGGATGTGCAATATTTAAAATCAACTAATACAATGATATATTAAAAAAATCTGTAATATCGGCCAGTAACCGATATGATACCGATATATCTAGCAATCACTGTAAACCAGCTTCCAATTCCTTAGCACTTCCTGTGTGTCGTATGCTAAACGACTACTTCCTTTCTGCTACACTATTTTAGTTTCGCTAATGTCCTATTATAGTTTTTTTTTTATATTTTGAATGATTAGAATATTAAAGTATTAAAATCATTTTAACTTTAGTTAACATTTTAGTCATTTATATATATATATTTCTTTATAGTTTTCATTCGGTTTTAGGGTTAGTTTTAGTTATTTTACTTAAACTTGTTTTATTTAAGCTATTTGCCTTTTTTTATTTTTGTTTAGTTTGTTTTATTTTCTAAGTTTTATATTTCATTTCATTTCAGTTAATGTTTATTTTATTTCAAGTATTTTTTTCAGTGGTTTTAGTTAACGATAATAACCCTGGTCTGCTATAAGTGACTACATAATATGAAACACATAATATGAAACTGTTATGTTTTTTTCATATTTTAGTTAAGCAGTATGGTTAAAATATTATCTTGTCTCAATGGAAGCAGAACATTTGAGTGTTGTTTCAAAGCTTCCAGCCGATGATATGCTGTCTGCTCTTGGGTTCCTCTCTTCCATCTGCTTCTTGTTTGCAGACTCTGCTCGTAGGATGAAGGTGGAGAGGAGTTCTCCGGTGCAAGGCTCGCTGGCGGAGCAGGTGGTCCTGCCCTGCCATTTCTCCATCATCCCACCTCCTACCGGCAGCACCAGCACCTCCACCACTGCAGCTGCGGCCATGGCCTCCAGCACCCACCCGGACCATCTCCGCATCAAGTGGACTAAACTCGTGGGCGATGAGGAAATCGTAGTGATAGTGACCCAGAATGGGTTCCTCAAGATTGGGCCGGAGTTTAAAGGCAGGGTATCAGTTCCCAGCCACCCCGAGGATGAGGGCGACGCGTCTTTGTCCATAGCGAGGCTCAGGGCCAGTGATGCGGGTGTTTACCGCTGCGAGGTCATGCACGGCATTGAAGACACTCAAGAGTCCGTCTCCCTGAACGTCAATGGTCAGTCATTCTCTATGCAAATTATGAAAGCCATACATGTTTCTGGTTGAATTAATTATATGTTCTCTATTGACTTTCCTCCAACTGCCAGTCCATTTTGTTACAGAACGGCCACTTTTCAGGATCTGGGTTTCATCCATAAGTAAAACTGGTTTAAAAAAGGCTATAACGTAGGATATAAAAATAATCAAATTATTTGTTGAATGTATAACTGAGTACAAAAAAACAAATCATAATTAATATAAAATATGACGATATTATTTAAAAAACATTATAATTAATAATTCATTAATATGAAATATAAATTTTAAGATTAGCTAAAGGTTACATTTGTTATTTTATATATTTATATATCATTATATTTTTAGCTTTATAGATGTTATTAAATTATTAGTGTTTTTTTTTTAATAGACAACAAAGGTAATCTAAATGTAGAAATAGGGGAAATTAGCATGACAAAATTCATATTTTAATTATAATATTATAATAAAATATTCATTAATACGTACTAAATATTATAATTAAATATTCACTAATATTAATATTATTTCAGTGCTTTAATGTTAAGTGAGCCCACTTTTTTATGATCCAGTGAAGTTCGGCCCTACATTTGTCTCACGTTTCATCCGGAAATATAATATATAGTTATATTGTCTTTAAATATTAGACAACAAGGGTAATCTAAATTTAAAAATAGAGGTAATGAGCATGCAAAATTAAATATTTTGACTATAATCATATTATAATTAAATATTAATTAAATCTTATTAAATATTGTAATTAAATATTAGTTAATATTATTTTAAGATTTTATCTTTAAGTGAGGCCAATTTTCATGATCCAGTTAAATCCTGGCCTAAATTTTTCCTGCATTTCATCTGGAAATACATCATGGTATGAAGTAAAATTGGTTGCGAAGTAATATACGATATGAAAATATTAATACTATTTATTAAAGTGAAATTGTGATTTTGTAAATATTATAATTAAATATTAATTGATATTAATATTCATTTTGATATATGCTAATTATTAGATTTATCATTTTAGATATATAAAATGATAGTTTTAGATTTATCAGTGTTATTAAATTGTTATTGTTTTTAAAAATTAGACTACAATGGTGATCTAAACTTAAAATAGGGGAAATGAGCATGCAAAATTTATTTAATTATTCTTTACCATAATATATACCATATATATTTGCTCATATATTTGCTCAGAAATATGTCACGTTGCGAAGTAAAATGGTGTTTCTTTAACTTCCTTCAGCAGGATTCCCATTGGCAAAGTTGTTCAGCAATGGCTCTCAGATGTGCTGCACTCTTTTACTCTCGTAAGCATATGTGATGATGTAATTAGTCATCGCTAGCCAAAATGGAACAGCGTTCCTGTCAGGAGACAAGGGGGAAAGATTATTTTGCTTTAGAGTCTGGAAAAATCACTTTCAGAGTCTGGATTTCCCTCGAATCTTGACAAGGCCCTATTGTGTTTCTAAGTAATAGAAAAGAAGGGTGAATGATTTGTTTTAATCAATACAAGAACATTTTCAAACTTTTTTTGGTTCCTTGAATGACTGCATTATGAACGAATGTCTTAAGAAATCGTTCAAGCCAAAAAGGTTCCTAACATTATTCATGCAAGAACTTAACTTGTATTAAACCTGAAACATTTAGAAAAAGTCAAAGAAACTGTGCTAAAAATCTTGTTAGGTGACAAACAACACTGTATTTGTTTACAGCATGATTATGTGCAGTAAAACATGAACACGTCTGGCTCAGATGAGACGGTGGTGTTGGAGTGTTTGTAGGCCCAGAGAGAGCCATGTGCCTTCCTGCCAAATACACTCAATGCCCTCTTTTGGGCCCTGGGCAGCACTGATTGCCACTCAAGGGTAGCACCTACCCAAAAAACACACTGCCATCCCTCTGAGGAAAGAGCATTCAGAACCTGACTCGTCAGCCAGCAGCTCTGCTAATGCACCAAAAAAAGACTAGAAAAGCCCATAAAAGGACAAATAGCAGTCAGACTGCATGGCCTCTTCTGAGCCTTATTAGTAGTGTTTGCTAAAGCAAATATCAGTATTACTATTACTCATGTGCTGAAGTATTAAATTCAACATGTAACTCGGCATGTTTGAGCTATGCAGCTATGAAACTCAACTTATGTTGTTTGTCTAAGTGAAAAACAGTGAACAGATACCTGTGATTTAGGAACCAGAAGTGCTTTTTTTTATTGTTAAATTTATTTCTCATTTTATTTATTTTTTTTACATTTTATTTTTCATTTGCAAACCTTCTTCTAAAAGTTGTATCCATAAATTCATCCACTTTCTAAGTCTAAGTGAAAAAGGGTGAACTAAATAGGAGCTTTTTTTTTATTCTTAATTCTTAATTTATATATATTATTATATATATTATTTTTATTTTTTTCTCCATTATTTAGCTGTTAGACAGTTTGCGCAGTAAAAGCCTCTTGGAAAATGTTATTTTATTTTATTAATTTATTCTATTCTATTCTATTCCTTATCCTTTCTTGGAAAAGTACATCCATAAATTCATTCTCTTTTATTCATACACATGCAGATGGATGTCTTAGGCCATTGCATTATGCATTGTTTTTTTCTTTTTCTTTCTTTCAATCTGCCATAAGCATAGTGTTTTAAAGATGTTTTGTCTAGTTCAAAATAGTTCAAAGTATTTCAAAAATCTATTTTTAAGTGGCTATGTCATGTCAGATAATTGCCTTGAGTAAGTTCAGAGCACCATTTAGGGATACTGTATGGGGAAAATAGTTCAAATAAGTATATAAAGAGTGGAGCGATAAGATCAGTTTTGAATCTTTGGTGCTGTGTAATGCTGTGAGAGCGATTACTATTCAGATCATGTTCAGCATTTGACACAACCGGTATCTAAATAGCTGAACAATACAATGATTCTTCATTTTTGCCAGACAACAGCTTGTTGTTGTGGCTGAAACTTCCAATGTTCAGAACAAACGCCGTCTTCTTTGAATCTAGGGATTCCTCAAAATAGCAGCCCATTTGTTGTTAGATGAAGTCAAATATGCATATCATGACCATACCTGACTGGAAAGAAAATCAAATTGTTGAAAATATAAATTTGGGGTTGGTTGGATTTTTATAATTTTTAATGTTTTTGAAAGAAGTCTCTTATGCTCACCAAGGCTCATTGATTTGATCAAGAATACAGTAAATACAGTAATATTGTGAAATATTGCTACCATTTAAATTAACTGTTTTTAGTTGAATATATTTTAAAATATTCCTGTGATCAAAGCTGAATTTTCAGCATCATTACTCCAGTCTTCAGTGACACGTGATCCTTCAGAAATCATTCTAATATGCTGATTTGCTGCTCATGAAACATTTATTATTATTATCATCAGTGTTAAATGACTTTACTGTCACTTTAGATCAATGTAATAAGTCCTTTATGAGTAAAAGTATTAATTTCTTTCAAAAACGTCAAAAATCTTACTGAATTCAAACTTTTGAATGCTAGTGTAGATGGTGGTCTTGTCAGGTATACAAAAATATATGAGTGTATCACAAAACAAAACCTCAAAATTGCTATATAAGATTTGATCAGATCAGTTAGTTGTTTACCTTTGGGTCATGAGCTTGATTTTTGTTGTCTCACAGGTGTTGTGTTTCATTACCGTGCCAACACCAGTCGCTACACTCTAGATTTCCAGCACGCCAAGCAGGCCTGCACTGATGTGGACGCGACCATCGCCACCGCAGAGCAGCTTCATTCAGCCTACGAGGACGGATTCGACCAGTGCGATGCCGGATGGCTGGCCGACCAAACCGTCAGGTGATTTCTTCAGCTCCAGACTCAAATCTATGAAATCATGCTATCTACATTTGAATATGACTGATATGAGAAGTACATCTGGGGTTGTTCTCCACAGATACCCCATAACAATGCCACGTGAAGGTTGCCATGGCGATATGATAATGAGGCCAGGAGTCAGATCATACGGACTCAGAAATTCCTCTGAAACGTATGATGTGTACTGCTATGCAGGAAAACTACAGGGTACGTTTAGAAATGAGCTACCGAGGGAATGGGTTTCTCTTCACGTGAAACACACGAGAGACTCACGCTGTGTTCACGTTGTGTCAGAATTACTGTAATTATGAGATGACAGTTTGGAAAGTCTGCTCTGAGCTGATTACATCCTCACTCACAAATTACTTGTTACTATGGCAACGTCGAAATTGATTTTTTTATTTTTTCTTCAAAATCCAGTCTTAATAAAAAAAATCTTAATGTCAAATCCATGTTTGGTTTTATTGGTGAGCGATAATTTACTGTATTCTCTTGAAAAAGTCATTTAAAAAAAAAAGAAAAAAAACGAAAACTTATTGGGTGAATCTCACAGAAATGATTATGATATTATAATATAAAATAATTTAAAAAAATTTAAAATATAACAAACATTACTATAATGTAAAAACACTTTTATTGTTTTATTGAAATAATATAATTATTTAATCAGATTTTTCACAATGTAAAATAGTTTGGTAAGACTTCATTTTAAGGTGTCCTTGTTACACGTTACATGTACTTACTATTATAATAACATTTAATTATGCATAATTGCATTCAACTAACCCTAAACCAAATCCTAATCCTAACCATATAGTAAGCAAGCACATGTAGTTAATTAATATTACTCAGTACTTAAGTGTATAATTACACTGTAACAAGGACACCTTAAAATAAAGTGTAACCAATACTTCTTTTTTTAATTACAGTAATGAGAATCTGGAGGGGAAATTTAAATTAAATAGATCCATGTGTGGCTTTATTGGTGATTATAGCAATCTAATTTAATCACATCAGTAATTTACTTCTATATTCTGTTTGCAAAATGTATTGATAAAGCAAATCCTAAAACTTACTGTGTCACCCCAACATATATATATATATATATATATATATATATATATACACACACACACACGCACACACAGAAATAAATTTTATGCACAAATACTTGAATAGTTACCTTTTGAGTAAATGGACTATTTCATTTTTAGTATTTAGTTCACTTTTAGTAGAAGTGCATTGTGGGATTGCCTTATTTGTTAAGAATGTGCAATGCACAAAAGGTGATGTGTTATTGTGTGTGTTTAATCTCAGGCGAGGTGTTTTTCGCTGATGCTGAGATGACTCTAGATGAGGCCAGGGAGGAGTGCGAGAGACGGGATGCAGTTTTAGCGTCTCCAGGTCACCTGCATGCAGCCTGGAGGGCCGGCTTGGACCGCTGTGACTTCGGCTGGCTGTCTGACGGCAGCGCTCGCTACCCCATCTCTGTACCCAGAATGCAGTGCGGCAGAGGACAGCTGGGTGTGAGGACTATGTACCGCTTCCTCAACCAGACTGGATTTCTTTTACCGAGCGAGAAGCTGGGTGCTTTCTGTTTCAAAGGTATGTCTTCATAAAATGCTCATGACAAAAAACTAATCCTTAAAACTTACCGGGTGAATCTCACAGAAACTTCACAATCAAAAGAAGAAATGAAGAAATGATTAATTCACATTGATATCAGAATAATATATAAATATATATCAGCAATATTTATAAAATAAACAAAGTTTTTTATATTTTCATTAATTTTAAAGAAAATTAAGCCTGTTTTTAGGACCATTAGGCAAGAAATATTATCAATACTTTTTTTTAAACAATTTTATTTTTAATAATATCATATATTAATATTATCAAAATTAAAACCCCTTTTTACAAACAACTCATGTTGATCAAAGGCCTAATAAAATTAATAAAACTAACAAAATATATATACGTGTGTGTGCATGTATATATGATAGGTTGTTTGTTTATAAATATAATCATATTTTTATTATAATATAGTATACCTATATATTAATAATATCATAAATTAATAACATAAATTATAGCACATTTCACAAACAATTGATGTTGATCAAAGGGCTTTACACATTAAAAACAAACAAATATCCTTTTATTTTATTTCAGAAATATATACTTAATCTTTTTTCCCCACAAAAAAATGTTTTTAATTTCAGTATGGAGCATTTAGAGGGAAAATGTCACAATTTGAAGAAAAAAAATTACAATCTGGTCCTAAAAATATTACATTTATATTTTTATTAAAATAAAAAAAGAAATAAGTAAATAAATATTATTTTATGGAAGTATCTAATTTCTTTCTATGAATTTTGAGATGAAATATAACACAGACATGTTCTTTGACAGGGTTCGAGAGATTCACGCAACTCTCCGTTAGTGCATGTTTCTCATGATATTGTTTTGCAGATAAGGAGGCGTCTGTTTTGCCGTGATATCATAACAGCTGTGACTCCGAGCGGACCTTTCCTCTCTCTGCTAGCTGGGTGGAAGCAGAATAATTCATTCTCTCCAGGGCGTCCTCAGATTTCATCTGTTAAACCTCTGTCCTACGTCTAGCTCAAATATGTGCCTTAAAATGGCAAACTAACTGACCTGTTTTCAGGTCAATTCCGCTGCCCAGAATGACTACGGCCTTTTAACCCCATAACTGTCCAGCTGGGGGTTGTTTAAACTCTCCGTCTGCACAACCTCAGTCATCACTCGAGAGGAAAAGTGGAAACAGGCCACACAAAAACAGCGCTTAACATGCATTTAATCTGATTTTACATGGGGTATCTCCTTTTCGCCCCCTACCTCCAGGGATTTTGTGGCTTTCCTGTTAGCCGTGGCTTGTTTCATGTAACCGGTCTTGAAGCACTTCTCTTAAATGGGCTTCTACCGCAGAGTACCGCAAAACAAACAAAAGCACTCTGGGTAGGCCAGAAAAGAGCGTGGAGGGCAAGAGTGCCCCACTATAATATATAAACAAGCGCTAGAGGGGGGATGTGGCTTCCTTTTGTGCTGTTTCAAGATCACTGGGGTTTTATAAGGGAAAAAGATGCCTGATGTTTTACATCAGAGGCGCTGCATAGAAAAGAGGACACATCCCTAACGTTTAACAGCTGGCTTTGTATGTCCACACACTGAGAAGCAGTGAGATACCCTTGTCATTAGCAAATGTGGGAGGCTTTTGTCATCATTCAATCATTTAATCACCCTTATGTATTTATCTTCTTACTGTATGTTGTTGAATCCTGATTATGTCATGTTGTCGTAGTATTCAGGCATTTTATATTCTGTTAGCCTGGTCATGATGTATGCAGGCTTACAGAAAGATGAAGATAGATCCACATTTGAAGAGACTGAAGGCAGCAGAAATGGGTGTGGGCCTTTGTCTGCACACAACACTCTGCATAACTTTTGCATTATGCGTCTGAAATGCTGCTGGTGTAAAAACGGGTTCAAAAGAACATAAATTGTCAAATGCGGTAAATGTGGAAAGGACAACAATTGTTGGTTAGTACTGAAAACAAGCATTTTGTTGCATAAGTCAGACCAAATTGTCAGTGAAATGCTTCTAAGAACATGCAATAGATAGAAATCAGTGTAGGTTTTTTTTTCTCAATAGTACATTGTACATTCAACATATTAAACAGACATATACTATAATTTAAAAGTTTGGGGGTCAGTAAGATTTTGTAATGTTTTTGAAAGAGGTCTCTTCTGCTCACCAAGGCTGCATATATTTAATAAATTAAAAAATACAGTTAAAACAGTAATATTGTAAAATATTATTAAAATTTAGAATGACTGTTTTCTATTAAAATATATTTTAAAATATAATTTATTTCTGTAATGACAGGTGAAGTTTCAGCATCATTACTCCAGTCTTCAGTGTCACGTGATCCTTCAGAAATCATTCTAATATGCTAATTTGCTGCTCAAAAAACATTTCTTATTATTATCAATCCTGCTTAATTTTTTGTGGAAACCGTGATACATATTTTTCAGGATTCTGTGAATAGAATGTTCAAAAGAACAGCATTTATTTAAAATAGAAATATCTTGTAACAATAGAAATGTCTTTACTGTCACTTTTAATACATTTTATGCCTCCTTGATGAATAAAAGTATAAATTTATTTAAAAAAATTACTGATCCCAAACTTTTGAACAGCAGTGTATGTCTATCTCTCCCAGCCTCATTTTTATTAGTGAAAAATTTAAAATGGCCTCTAGCCTGGTCTTATAAGGTCACATGCTGCTATCATTAAAGGAAAAGGAGCAACACTACATATTAAGACATCCTGAAATCCATGTATATTTTTTTTAATTCAGCAAAATAGAAGCCTTTTCACTTGTACTTTCAGACTTTTGGACCCCCTCTCTATTCCCCTGCATGCAGCCAGATGGGCAACTGCCATACATGTCATCATGAATGGTTTTTTACCGTGGTGTTGAAACCTCTTGCTAAGCATGAAACTTTTTTTTACCGTCTGAGTCAAACCTTTGGAAGCTTGCCAACACGTCATAAGCACAGCAGCTATATGTGTATGAACAGACAGAGTGAACATTATAGTGTCGTTAACTTGGCCATTTCGAGTTTTTATATAGGTCAGTGAAAGTGTGTCAGAGTTAGCATGCATGTAGACAGCAGTGTTAGGGTTTGATTTATCGATTGTGAGAATGAGATGACGTTGGCGCTTACATTATGAAACATTCCAAGTGCACTTATTCAGGACTATTTACCTACCGGTCGGAGTCAAAATACGTGGTTAGGCAAAATTCAACCTCTCCCAGCCTCATTTTTATTAGTGAAAAATTTAAAATGGCATCTAGCCTGGTCTTATAAGGTCACATGCTATCATTAAAGGAAAAGGAGCAACACTACATATTAAGACATCCTGAAATCCATGTATATTTTTTTTAATTCAGCAAAATAGAAGCCTTTTCACTTGTACTTTCAGACTTTTGGACCCCCTCTCTATTCCCCTGCATGCAGCCAGATGGGCAACTGCCATACATGTCATCATGAATGGTTTTTTACCGTGGTGTTGAAACCTCTTGCTAAGCATGAAACTTTTTTTTACCGTCTGAGTCAAACCTTTGGAAGCTTGCCAACACGTCATAAGCACAGCAGCTATATGTGTATGAACAGACAGAGTGAACATTATAGTGTCGTTAACTTGGCCATTTCGAGTTTTTATATAGGTCAGTGAAAGTGTGTCAGAGTTAGCATGCATGTAGACAGCAGTGTTAGGGTTTGATTTATCGATTGTGAGAATGAGATGACGTTGGCGCTTACATTATGAAACATTCCAAGTGCACTTATTCAGGACTATTTACCTACCGGTCGGAGTCAAAATACGTGGTTAGGCAAAATGCAACCTAGCCAAAAATGTTCTGGAAAGGAAGCTAAAGTTTCAAAATAAATATAAACTGTCAAGTCCTACCCGGTCATAGTGCATCATTTTCCCAAAATAACTCTTTACCAGCCAAAAAATTCCTCAATACTTAGACAATTCTGCTGTTATTGGCATTTTGTAGAAATATCTTGACTTTGCTGCCAGGAATTGCATTTATTGCACTTACTTGGTCAATATTGATAGACTGAGGGCTGTGTCTTATTTGGGATAAAACTGCAAAAGTATTCTACAGTGCTCACCTGAATATCACCTAATAAAGGTGTCATAGTTTCATCTGTCACTATTTTATGTATGGAGACATATATACTGTTTATAGGTTGACAATGTGGCACTTTTGACATTTCTCTTTTTGTTTGGGCAGTCTGATTTGTCAGCTGTTGTCAGTAAATTGTATGAATACAGTAGGGTGACCATACGTGCCATTTTCCCAGGACACGTCCTGGGAAAATGGCACGTATGGTCACCCTACTGTATTCATACAATTTACTGACAACAGCTGACAAATCAGACTGCCCAAACAAAAAGAGAAATGTCAAAAGTGCCACATTGTCAACCTATAAACAGTATATATGTCTCCATACATACT